AATTCAATTCAATTTTATTGACACAGCGCCAAATCACAACAACACTCGCCTCAAGGCGCTTTATATGGTAGACTTTAGAATAATACATACAGAGAGAAATCCAACAATCATATGACCCCCCATGAGGAAGAACTTTGGCGACAGTGGGAGGAAAAATGACCTTTTAACAGGAACAAACCTCCGGCAGAACCAGGCTCAGGGAGAGAACAACGTGGGAGACGGTCGCATCTACTGCAACCGGTTGGGGTGACAGAGGAAGACAGAACAAAAGACATGCTGTGGAAGAGAGTCAGAGATTAACAACATTAACAACTAATGATTCAATGCAGAGAGGTGTAAAGAAGAATTACTGTTTGCATCATGGGAATCCCCCGGCAGCCTACAGCTATTGCAGCATAACTAAGGCGGGATTTGTGGGGGGTCACCTGATTCAGCCCTAACTATATGCTTTAGCAAAAAAGAAAGTTTTAAGCCTAATCTTATCATTAGAGATAGTGTCTGTCTTCCAAATCCGAACTGGAAGCTGGTTCGACAGAAGAGGGGCCTGAAAACTGAAGGCTCTGCCTCCCTTTTAAATACTCTAGGAACAACAAGTAGGCCTGCAGAGCGAGAGCGAAGTGCTCTAATAGGGTGATACAGTAAGATGGGGCTTGATTATTCTTGTATGTGAGGAGCAAGATTTTGAATTCAAGTCTGGATTTAACAGGGAGCCAATAAATGGAAACCAATATAGGAGAAATAGTCCCTGTTTCTCTCCTCTGTTTCCCCAGGGGGGGGGCCTCTTCTTGGAGCTTATAAGAATATTCAGCGTGTGTGACTGTGAACAGAAGAGGAAGTTCACACACGAGGCGTAACTGACATGACATTTTCTAACCAAAGCAGTGTTCAGCGTGGCTGCAGTGACACAGAGGAAACAAGAGGCCGGGTTGATTCCTTTCAGCCTCAGGACCCCCGCAGTTTAGAATCGTCTCTGAGTTTGTGTCGGGCTGTTATGTCAGTGCAGCACCGAGACAGATACACAACAGACGGCGTGACAGGTTCAAAATGCACTTCGGCCGAGAAATGATGCGTCTCTGGTGCCACGTGGTTGCGGTGACAGCAGGACAGCAGATGACAGAGCAGCTTTGAAAAGAAAAGGGTGACACTGAAAGGCTTAAATGTGCCAGTGTGATCAGAGTGATCAGACAAACCATAAAAACGTGTAATAAAGAATAATACTTTCTGCAGATGTTCACTGCGCCTTCCTTTTCCTTTTCCAGCACAGAAAGTGGAAAATTCTGCAGAACCCGTGTTACCTGATAGACTTTTAAAAAAACCAACAACCTGGTGTCATTTTGAACTTCTTCAGGAAATCGAATTACACGAGGAGCGACGGTTCCTCATTTGCATGTCCGCAGCTGTCCTTGCGCGCGAAGACAAAACAGCTCAGAGTGGACGCTTCTTTCTTTAACCAGCGTGTAAAAGTGACACACAATCGCCACAGCGACGACAAAGTGTCATAAAGATAAAGCCGTCGCGCGAGGGCAGCTCTGATGCGCCTGTGCACGTGGACGCGGAGGCGCGCGTGGAAGCAACAGGCGGCGAAGCGAGAGACGTCTCTCCTCGTGACATCTGTAACTTGTGATTTTGGTGCGAGCCAGCACAGGACACGCGGCGTGGATACCTTCACGCGCGGGAGCCGTTGTGTAAACGCGGAGCGAGAAAGAGGGCGGTCAGAGGAGTGACGGCACACGGCGCGCCGCGCGCTGCTCTCACTCCCAGCTCGGCTTCTGGTGGATTGCCCGTCGCACGTGCAGTTTGTTGTTCTTGCACGGCGGGACTACCGGCGTCGGGAGACGCATGCTTGAAAAGACCTGCGCTCACTTGACGCCCGCTTTGGTGATGCCATGCCCCGGAACCACAGCGGAGACGAAGGCGGCACCGGGCTCTGGATGAGGACCTCACCGGGGCATCGTACCGAAGGCTACGGCTTGAAGGATGTGGAGTCCGGCGGAAAGATGATGAACAACGCAGGAGACGGCTTGCTGTCGGCCCCCGGCGCCGCAGGTGCTGCCGGGTCCGACAACGCGAGGGGGAAGCAGGGAGCCCGGCTCAGCCTGCTGGGGAAGCCGCTCTTATACAGCACCCAGAGCGGCCGGAGAAACGTGCGCTACCGGCGGCTTCAGAACTACCTGTACAACGTGCTGGAAAGACCGAGAGCCTGGGCGTTCATCTACCACGCGTTTGTGTAAGTTCACGTTATGATGTGCGTGCGGAGTTGTGTGATGCAAAGATGCGAGGATGCACACCTGTTGATGGTTCCTGCGGGAGGGTTTGCAGTTAGAAAGCTTGCTTCAGTTTGGGGCACTTTTGATATGTGATGGCTGATATGCGCCAGATTCCCAGCTTTTGCACATGAAGCAGCTTCAGTGTGAGACTAACGGGTCACTTTTGCGTTTATGAGTTTCATGTGTGCTGTTAAACCCGGATCTCAGGGTCCCTGCGGTTAGGACTTCTTCAGCCGTGCTGTGCGCCTTTCTTCGCTTCTCAACCAGCTGTATTTAATCTCCCGCGTGCGATTGTTTGTTGTTGTGGCGTGATAACTGTTCCTGAGAGGGAGGAAGGAAGTCGAGACACATGCTGACTGCAAAGCACCATTTTTTTCTCTTTGGTGTGTGTGTTGTGTGTAGACTAAGGGGAGGGGTTGCAAAGGGTGGACAGAAGCTGTTTACAACGCAAACAGCTCAAGTGTTCACTTTTCTTTGTGAGTCATCATTAAAGCTACTCTTTCAAACTGCATTCTTCACGAGCACATAGGATTTTTCCCTCGGTGTCGTGTGTAGGCTGTGGTCTGCGGTGGCACCTTTCATGTCGCATTCTTTTAAAAGAAATTACACTCGCTGACTGAAAACGGCTTTAAAATTTCCTAGACAGTGAAATCGAAATGTCATGTGTCGTGCGCGGTGATGGAAGGCAGAAATGGAAATGCTCCTGTTAATAAATACTGTTCAGTTACAATACAGCAGCATGTTGGTTAAGGAGGAGTTCTGCTCGTTTCCAGCATCATGTTCTTGTTCCGAGGCTCAACTGGAGCTTCACATGATTCACAGTTCAACAAAAACCCAACTTATCTTTTGTTTAACTTTGCTTTTTCAGCTCCTCTCTGTTCAGCTGATCTATTGATGTGAAACTTTGGCCATATTTAATATGAGCATCCACCACTGTAACAGTATACATGTGACAAAAAACAAGAAAAGAAAAGAGGGAAATGACATCAGGAAAGACGTTTTAAGTGGCGTATAGAGATGAAGCTCAACTGAAAATTTAAACCAAAAAAACAGATTTCCCATAATATTTATGAAGACAGGTGAAAAAATAGACACTAAATGAGTTACAGATGTGCCCGAATGACATTTTTGGGTTTGATATATTTAAGTGTGTCTCTATCTTTTCATTTGATGTGCTGCCTCCTTTCACAGTGCTGCATGAATTAGCTGCCGTTGTAGCTGTTGGCCTTGGACTCGTGTGATCGACCGCGTGTGATGTTTATAACCACCTAACTAGTTGTAGAAAACATTCGGATATACGTTTTTAAAACCTCTGATTAGTCCAGTTCAGTTTTACTTAGAGCTGGTTCACAAAACCAGTCATCTCAAGGTGCTTTACTCTTAATACCTAATACTAGAGAAAACCACAATGATCAGATAAGGAGAGGAGCAGCACTTGGAGGCTGTGGGGAAGAAGATCTCCGTTTTAACAGGAAGACGCTTCCAGCAGAACCAGGGTTAGGGAGGAGCAGCTTCTCCGTTTGATTGGCTTTTCTTTGTGTAGCTTTTTGGCGGTGCAGAGGTTAGAAGGATATGAGATTTGAACCACTGAGGCTATGGAGATGGACATGTGCACAGTCCAACAAAGACGTTGCATCCGTCTTATCCACACGTCGAATACTGACTGGCTGAAGAGTTGGTTTGAGCAGAAAAGGTAAAGACGACCGAGCCCACCACCAGGAGGCAGAACTGTGGAAAAAATGGGGTCAGAAAAAAGTCCAATTTAAAGCACAAACTGTGATTTCAACAAACAGAGCACTGGGCTCAGGTAAATGACCAGGAACAGTATTAAATTAACAAGAATGCACACTATTGAGTTCCTGTTTCTCTTTATTCTTTATTCCGCTATATTCTAGTTGCTTCCGTACGTTTTTTGGCACTTAACTACTCCCTCAGTTTTTATCCGATTTTCGCCATTAAAACTTTAAAAAATTCTGCTCTTTCTGCTAATGAAATATGACTTTTGGTGCTCATAACTTCTATACTTTTTGAGATATTGAATTTTTTATGCAATATTTTTTGCCCATTTCTGCCACATTAGGAGGCCCGGGTTCAAATTCCGCTCATGGTTACATTTCTTTCAGTTAACAGTTAAACTTTTTTAACTCTTTTCTGCAGAAATTCTGCTTATTCATCTCTTTTCTGCAAAATTTTTAGCCTTTTCACCTCTT